AGCATATAAGTCGGAGTCACCTATAGTGACCTGTACGACTTATCCATATCTCATCAATCCTGGCTAGCCAATAGCTCAATAAGTATACCTGCACACGAGTCGGAACCACCTAAAGTGGTCTGTACGACAGGATTGGGTGTAAATAAATACGCTCAAGTGCTACGATTACGTGAAGACTGGGCGAATAATCGCGGGTCACCTACGAGTCGGAACCACCTAAAGTGGTATGTACGACAGGATTGTGCACCTACCTTGAATCCAAGGTGAGCGTAAGGTGCGGGAGGTGAACATCACGTGAAGGACTGTGCCCTGGCCACGGGCGGGAGCACTAACACCGGGGTGCAGGTTTATGAGCTCTCAATGCATCTCAATATAACATGTGGAACTCATGGCAACCAGTACGACAGTAACGAAGTTGCCTAACTCATAACTGTAGTCATGCTATAACTCAATCGATTCAATTAATACCATAAACTTACCTGAACTTACCTGGGTGTCCTGAGTTCACCTTTGCACTTAAAAGCATTCCCAATAATTATATGCAAGTAATATACATATGGATATACCATGATGCAATCTAATACTCAACCATGTCGTAGCATTTTCAATTATAAACAATACAGTGAGAAGTGTACAATCAATAACGCCCTACACCCAAACTACTTATTTTCAGGGATAATTATCCATGACAACCCAATTAACACTAATTTAACAAACTAATTCATAAAACTAAAACTTGCATTTACCAATTTCCCAAGCAAGGCTTTTGTCTCAAATATTTTATGGCTGCATCTAACGTCTCGTTAGACTGCCTACGAACCCTAAACAGGGATCAAGCCATTCGTAGTTCATATAGTACTTCAAGCATTCACAATAATTATATATGAAAGTAATATGCCTAATCAATTTAAAAGTGTCGATAGAACTCTCAATAATATGTACGATAAAAAGGAAAAGATGCACTCACCTGGAGTCCACGCTATGATTCTCTAGCGCACGCATCGAGACGTCCTGAATGATTGGTCCATGTGACCAATTATCAAATCACATCTCAGAACTCTTATCTGTAGAATATGTAATTCACATAAAACACAACTTCAACGACATTCTAAAATAGTTTGAGGCCCATTGACCACAAGTCAACCGTCGATCAAAGATCAACGGTAGGGTTTACAACACTGTATAACTTGACCCGGAAGATCCGCATATCAGATTTCCAATCTGCAACTCCCAACGATCCACAATATATTTCTAGAATAACATATTAAAATTTCATTTCGATCCAACGGACGGATCTCCGCCATTTGCCCAAAACCAAGTGGACGTGAACATTTATTTTACTAACTTACAAATCCAATTCAGGAAGATCCGTAAGTCGGATTCCCGATCCATAAATTCCTATGATCTTTAAATATTACGTATTATAATATATCCAAATTTGGTGACGATCCAACGGTCGGATCATCGATTCACATTTTTATCAAGTAACGTATCGTAACGAATTTGGGTTCCAACTATCAACCTACGTCATTCAAATGAAAAAACTGAATTCAAGACATTTGACATAGCCTAAAAATAGCATTGGCGGCCCACTGGCCACGCGCCGCCGCACGCGCCGCCGCGGGTGGCGGTCGGCCACCCCGACTCGCCGGAAAATCCAACTATTTCCAAAAATTCTCAAACTTCACAGAAATGAAGATCTCAGTGAGTGGAGAAACTTTCATACCTGCCACGAAGTCCAAAAGTAGACGGAAGATGGTCAATTTTGCCCACAAAGCCGGCGGGTGCCTAAAACTTCCCGACGTCGATTCGTCGTCTACGGTGGTCCAACGGGGTCAAGGTTGGTTGGGTTTTGCTCCTGGGATGATAGGCTACAAATCCCAAGTGGTGGCATCGGCCATCGCTTTGCCGATTTTCCGGAAAATCGAAAAGGGTGGCCGGAGCACCATTGGTTTTCGTCAACTTTCGTGGCCTCAAACCGCCCCATACCATGGTTAATCAAGGTGGTTCTTGGTGTGTTTTGTAGAGGGGAATGAGAGCTTCAAGATGGTGGTGGTGGCATCGAAAAACACCACCGGAGTTGGCCGGAATAGGCCTCGGAAAATGGGTGGTCGTGCATGTTGGGTCACGGTTTTGGGGAAGCTGCTAGCTTCTCTCTCACTTCTCCTCAATTTCTGATTGGTCCTCCCTTTCTTTTGCTGATTGGTCCCTTATTTTCTTGCTTAAAGGCTGATTGGTTAGTCTTCCCACAAGGTGGGAGTTCAAATAATTTAACTACCTTTAAATAACCAATTTCAAACGTCTGTAACTATACCGTTATAATCCGGACTCGCAAACGGCTTTCGCCTATACGTTCGTACCAACGAGTACTACGAGGATATGCTAAAAGAATAAGTCCCACATCTCTCAAGTCGATGGTCAACGGAAGTCAAAGTCCTTGCCTCTAGGGCAATTTCGTAAACTCACGCTTTTAAAATAAAATAAAAACGTAAAATTTGGAACGGGTTGTCACACATTCGTAGTCTCTAAATCCTAAAGCTTTATAGTAGATTGTTAGTCTCCAAAACCTAAATTCTGTGTCTTGAAGCAATTGCTCAACAACTTTGATTGATTTATGAAATTAAAGTTAGCTAGTTTTGATGCTACTTGGCTTAATTTTTTTAGGAATTTTTGGAAACTAAGTTACAAGATTAAACTTGAAAAAGTTAAGCAACCCGAACCCAAACCCAAGTGAGCCATAACCCAATTAAACCCGAGCCCAACTGAACCCGAATGAAACTCAACCCAAACCTGAGCCCGAATTGTAAAAGTTGGGTTAGGATTGGGTTGACTTTCTAACCTGCCCAACCTGCTCGAGTTGCACCTTACCACTAGCCCATTACTTAGACTTGGGCTTATAAAGAACAGAATTGGGATTGGATTTGTGGATTGAGTCGGCGTGGACGGGTCAGGATCTCTTCCATCAAAGCTCACTAATCAATTAATCCAGAATCTTGAAATTTGATCCAACGGTTAAAATTATTATAATTTTTAAAATGACCCTCTATTTATAGTCATTTAATCAAATTTTAAGAACCCGATTAATTAATTGGTAGTATTTGATGGAATCCGAGAGGATCTCTTCCCGGCGCGGACTTGCCGAAGTTACATCGGGTCAGCACTAAGAGTCCCGAAGAGTAGCAGCATAATGCGATACGATTTCAGTCTCAGTAAGAAACTCAGCAATCCAAACTCCCGACCCAAATATGGCGTTGCGGAGCCTCACGCTGCCTCTGCCCGCCGTAATCCCGCCATTACCAACACCTTCTTCTTCTTCTCCTCCTTCTCCATATCTTTCTTTCTGGTGTAGTTTCAGACAGAACCAGTATAAACGTTATCCCGGTTGCTCTACCACTCTCCGCCCAAAACCCCTAACCTTTCTCAATCGTCAGACGCAAAGCCATGTCGTTCGGATGGCTCCCGAGGAGGAAAAGCTGACCCGCCGCTCCCCTCTCGAATTCCCCATTGTAAGTTTCTAACCCATCTCAATCTTTCTGTGGGTAATTTTGTCGAACACGTTCTGTGATCTATTTTGTGTCCAAAAATTGGTTTATTTTTTCAGCATTTTCTTATACAAGTACCATAATGCTTGTAATGTTTGCCTGTTGGGATCAGTTCACTTAGTCCAGTTGAGCTCTCAGCAGCATGAGGGTTCCTGTTTGTTGGGTATTTCATGGGTACTTGGGAACTTAAATATTCTGGAAGCAATATTCCAAGTGCCAATGGCCTGTTTGTGTAGTGGAACTATTCCATCATCTGATGTAAACTATACTTGTGTGTATGTGCGCGCGAGCGGGACACACATACCAAACTAGGGATCTCTAATACACTCTTGCTTCTTGTTGATTGGATTGTCCTTACTTAACATCTTTTGATTGAGTTCTTATAAGTGTACACCGGTGTCTTGCCAACAAGTTAACAAGATTTCAAGCAATGAAATTGCTCAACCAATTTTATGATTTGTCAGTTACACATATATAAATGAGTTGAGTCCTTCCAACATTGTGTTGTCTTAGGCTAAGGCAGCATTGAGAGGTGTTTTTGTTTATTCATGCTCAAACTATTGAAAAATCAAACACTTTCTGTACTCAAGTTCAGAATACAAGGTGCACTGGTTCGTTTGACCTGGTGCTTGTTGCATGATTTATTAGTCTGCTTCACTCTCCATCCTAAGTTCCTAAACTTCAAGTAACCATTATGTAAATATAATCTTCGATATAGCATATGCATTCTGGAATGGTGTTAATGGGAAAATGTTAAGGTTCTATTGTCACTTGATAAGGATTTCACCGTAGATTACAGAGGGAAGGTTAAACGTGATCTTAATTCCGTAGGTATATTCGCCTTTGGAAAATTTAGATATGCTTATCCTGTGTGCATTTTTTGACATTGAAGGAATGGGAACGGCCTAAACCTGCGAGGAGACCAGATATATTTCCCCAGTTTAGCCCAATGAAAACACCTTTACCACCTCCACTGCCAGCAGATCCTCCCGAAGAAGACGAAGAAGAGGAAGAAAAGAAAGAGGAGGAAGAAGGGGATGAAGATCCAGACAAAGAAACCCCAGAAGACCCAGGGCAGCAGTAGTTATGCATCAAACCAGAGTTTGTGGAGCATATTTCACTTGTATGTGCTACTGCCTTGTGCATTTCAAGCTTTGCAGGTAGCAGATGCGAGTGCATCTCGTATAACCAAAGGATGAATGGATAGAGTTGAAGCAATTTTTTTGGGAACAATACTGGAACGTAACTCTTGTTGCTACTTAGATATATATAAATAGCAATGCCTTTTTGTTAAGCAAATCAAAATCTTGGTTAATCAGAGTCGCGGGATTTTTGCGTTGTGCGATATAAGAGTCTCAATCTCCGAAACCTCATTGATATTTTTGAAAATAACAAACCAAAGCCAACAAGGTAACACTGCAAAGACAGCTCAAAAAGACAGATCAGAAAAGCTTCAGATTAGACAAACTCAATTTATTTAGACTCGGTTATAATGTTACACACTGAAATTCACTCAAGCTAGATCTAGCGCACATTAGAAACTAGACCATCGCATAAATTGAAAGACGTCGACACAATCGAGTTCATAATTACAGCTCAAGATCGATATATTGTATCCCAGCTTGGGGTTGGATAAATCCACTCATTTCTTCCCACTTTTCTTGAGCCCAGCACCTCCGAATGACCCCTTCTGTTGTGCCTTGGCTCTAAGCTCCTTCAGTGCCTGTTTATCACAAGCATGATAATTTCATCAATAATTTATCAAAACACTCGATAAAGGAGCCTGGTTACGGTAAAAATAAACCTACCTTCTCCTCATCTTTTTTCTTCTGAAGGTTGGCCAAATCGGACTGCACAACAGAAGATAAAGATTCTTATTGCAAGGGATATAAAAAGTAAGTTTAAAAACCACTGAAAAGCAAGCTAACTACTTCATGAACTTGAACATGTATTTGTCCAACCATGAGCTTCAATGCACGGTGATATAACAAACCACCATGGGCAATAATAAGTATAAAGATTCAAATCTAAGTGCAGTTGAGAACAATTCAGCTAACATTGTTTCAGCAGCTCCTTTGCTTCTCAATTCAAAAAATGCAAGATTTGACATAGAGTGGCAAAGGAGTCATCAAATAGCATAGCATGTAATGTACAAGGTAACACAAAATATGCTCAAGTTTGGGGATCGGGGGAATGGGGCAGAGACAGCGTTTTTCAAACTACAAGTCTACAACAACGTTCATACTATTAGCTGAAAATTGAGCATCTGCTAGTCAGAGAAACAGAGAGAATCCATTTTGTTGAACACAAATTTCCTTGGTTACCATACTAAACCTATCGAGAAATAGTTATTTGCACTATTGTTTCCACAATCAAATCTGACGTTACAAAAAACAATAAACCATTCTTTGAATAACTTCAATTCCTACAAAATACAAACTTTACGGAAAAGAACTAAATAACATCACCCTGCTCCTATCTAGTGATTAATCAAACACAATAACGAGTTCAGCTACATACTAATTCATTAAGCATAAGTTTTACCCAATAAAAGGGATTTTTAAATCTCAACATACAGTAAAAAGAAATTCCGAGCTAAAAAGATCCAGCCAAAACACAAATCCTAATCCACCTAAAACATAAACCTAATCATTCCTTACCTCGTCGTACTCCTTCTTATCGGCCTTGGGTGCCTTCAAGGGCTTAGCTTTTCCACCTAAAAAACGAAACACAATTTCATATTTCTGGGCCCGAAAATCCAAACGAAAGCTAACGAATTTCTAGGGTTTTTTACCCAATTTTATGGTTTACAAAAAATTGGAGTCGGAATTGGGAATTGAAACTTGAAAATCTAGGGTTTCAATCGTAAAGAACATACCTTGCTTGGAAGACATGGCTGCGATCTAGGGCAAAAGTCTTGCCCGGTTGGAATTGGGAGCGACGACAAATTCACAGGACAACCCTATTCGCAATAATACGCAGCTGCTCTTCTTTACGAGAGGTTGGAAAATCACCAATATATATTCCATATTGCACGCACTCATCACGTGCGTGTGTTAAGCCCATTTGCTGGAGTCCACTACTTCCCTCCATGCAACCGGCCTATGTCAGCCCTTTTATCACCATGCCCAAATAGCTAAGGTTCTCCTACGAGGAGTACAAATATGTAATAGAGAGACGAAGACAGATTACGAATGAAATGAATTAAAACTGCCTCTTTTTCCTCAAAACTCCTCTCTTTTCTCTTTCTAAATTCCTGCACTATTTCTGTTGAAGTTGCCATTTTTAGCCAACCTGAACCGATTGGGTGTACCAATTGGTATCAGAGCCCTTCGATCGATGGGCAAAAACACACAATCTGCTAGCTCTGACCTCGACGCAGTCGTCGCTGCGGTGGATGTTCGTCACGAGCACATTCGTAACTAGGTCGAGGATGTCTGTGACACCATCGCCATTGTAGAAAATCAGCAAGCTTCATTCCAAAAGTCTCTTGAACAACTCAACGACTTCAACATGGCTTTCCAAACTACCATGACTTCCCAGTTCGCATCTTTCCAAACCTTGCTGCTCAACAAGCTACGCCACCTCAAATCAGCCCTCCCACCCTGACCACCACCATCCTACCTACTGCCACCCCGGCCACCTCTGTACCACCCACTGCCACACCCAACCCGAGATCCTCTACACCCAATCTCCAACCCTCTTTCTTCCATCGAATACATCCTACATGGGCTTTAGCCTTTCTAACCCACCCACCCTCAACCCACTACATACTTACATCCCCTCAACCCGCCGTACTTTATCCCTTAATACTATCACAACCAGGCCTACCCACTCTCAATCGAACCCAGCCTCTTCCTCCAATTACTCACCGCACCCTTACACCTACACCCACCCAATACCATATACTTCCCACTCCTTCAATGTCACACTGTACCCCACCTCTCTTTCTACTACCCACACCTACCCAACACCATACATTTTCCAACACCCTCCTAATACTTTCAAACCCATCAAAATGGAACTCCCGCGTTTCAATAGGGAGGACCCTTATAGGTGGTTGGCCATGGCCGAACGTTATCTCGACTATTACGAGGTCCCTCGTCACCAATGAGTCCTTGTAACAACATGTAATTTTGGTGTAGATGCTTTTATATGGATGAAAGGTTTTGAACAAAGACATGGCAGAGATAATTGGGGTTTATTCGTTGATCTGTTGCTTTAACGTTTTGGTGGGGGTGATCGAGCAAACATTGAATCCCAGCTCACTCACATTCAACAAAAGGCCATTGTTGATGATTATCTGGCAAAGTTCACACGATTTTCTTACCAGGTAACTGATTGGACAAAAAACCAATTGAAACACGTGTTCTTGGGCGGTCTAAAAGAGGACATCCGTCATGATGTCCTTGCTCTCGAACCCGAATCTTTACATCAAGCCCAGAAATTAGCAAAATTTTTTGAAACTAAGCTGCAAGCCAAACGTTTTACCAGCCCTACTTTTCCCCGCGCCTACCCATCCTATACCACCACTTCCCATTCCTCTTTCCCTAACCCAACACCATTAACCACTACAAAACAACCATCCCTGCTTAATAGCGCATTTAAGCACCTAACCTCAGCTGAAGTATAGGATAAACGATAGAAAAATGAATGTTTTGGCTGTCATGAACAATATTCACCCATCCACAAATGCAAACCCCACTGCTTGTATTGCTTGACCCTACTCTGCATAAGGACGATTCTACAGAATTCCATGATTGTCGAAAGGAAAACACTACGGTAGAGGAGACCTTTTGTCACATGCTTGAACTGTTCTTCATTATGGGTATTAATATCGGGCGACCAATGCGATTGAAAGGCTCAATTTCCTCCAAGCCTATCACCATTCTGATCGACTCCGGATCCGTGTACAATCTCTTAAATCCCCACATTGCTGAACAGCTGGCCCTACCTATGGAATCCATCGATCACGTGAAGTTCACCATAGCATCCCATGACTGTTATTCCTTCAAACGTGTTACTGATGTGACTCTCAAATTACAAGATTATACTATACACGGCTCTTTCCTCTTACCCGATGTGCCTGGTTGTGACCTCATTTTGGGTGCAGAATGGTTGGAATCCTTGGGATTCATTGGTTGACATTTCAAACAGAAAACAATGATATTCTCTGTGGAAGGCCAAAGTTACACCCTCCAAGGCTTGACACATTCAGCATCTTTATTTCCTACATACCATACGATAGATCACTTACTAGACAATCCTTATTCTCTTTTAGCCTCCATAGCCCCCACAGATACTACACTTATCCCACCCACTGACACTCATCCTGCCTTTATCTCCCTCATTCACCAATACAAACACATATTTGCCAACCCATCAGGCCTTCCACCTGAAAGACCCATCGGCCACAAAATACCCCTCCTACCCCATACCAACCCATCAATGTTCGTCCATATCGGTATCCACACTATCAAAAGGCGGAGATTGAAAAACAAGTGCGGGAATTCTTAAATTCAGGTGTCATCCGCCCTAGCTCAAGCCTTTTTTCATCCCCGGTTCTTCTTGTCAAGAAGAAAGACAAAACTTAGCGCTAATGCATTGATTATCAAGCCTTGAATGCTGCAACTATCAAAGATCGTTTTCCTATTCCAGTGGTGGATGAACTTCTCAATGAACTCATAGGCGCCACAATCTTTTCGAAACTGGACCTCCGGTCCGGTTACCACCAAATTCAAATGAGCACTGAGGACATCACAAAAACCGCTTTTCGCACCCATGACGGACACTACGAATTCACAGTAATGCCCTTTGGCTTATCCAATGCACCTGCCACCTTTCAATCCTTAATGAATTCGATTTTCCATTCTTACTTACGAAACTTTGTCTTAGTTTTCTTTGATGATATATTGGTTTATAGTCCTTCCATAGCTACTCACCTTTCCTATTTGGAGACAATTTTCGAGATTTTGTCTACTAACAGCCTGAAGGTGAAACTAAACAAGTGCTCATTTGGCCAAGAACAAATTACTTATTTGGGCCATATTATCTCTGGCAAGGGAGTTATTGTTGATCCATCTAAGATACAGGCCATCATAGACTGGCCCCGGTTGACATCTCTCAAAGGCCTTCGCGGTTTCCTCGGCTTAACAGGTTATTACTGGAAATTCGTCAAGCATTACAGCCTACTTGCAAAACCCTTAACAAACATGTTGAAACAGGGCAGCTTCTCATGGTCACTTGACTCCATTAAGGCATCCGAAGCATTAAAGCATGTGTTATCCACAACACCGGTGCTCGCCCTACCAGATTTCTCAAAGCAGTTTGTCATCGAAATTGATGCATCAAGCAATGGTATTGGGGCTGTTTTAAGCCAAGATGGTCATCCAATCACTTATCTAAGCAAAGCACTTACCCTTGGACTTTCCAATTATGATAAGGAGATGTTAGCAATCGTCTTTGCCGTGCAACATTGGCATCCTTATCTATTGGGTCAGCATTTCCTCATTATCATGGACCATTAACCACTTAAACATTTTCTGGAGCAGCGAATTACAACACCTCAGCAGCAAAAATGGTTGGTGAAATTATTAAGGTACAACTATTCGGTTGAGTATAGACTGGGTCCTCAAAATAGTGCACCATATACTCTTTCAAGATAACAAGACCTACTGCTGTTAATAGGGCTTTCCACACCTATTTTTGACTGTATTCTTCAATTGCAACAGTCCTACGCTCAGGATCCGCAAGTGTAAGAAATTTGGACCCTTTTAGCTCGAGCACTCAACACTTCAATCAAAGGTTTATCCATTATAAATGATGTGCTACACTACAAACAAAGAGTCTTCATTCCACTCACATCACAATGGCGGCCTAAACTCTTAGACGAATTCCATGCCTCTCTTTAAGGAGGTCACTCCGGCTTTCTTCGAACTTACAAAAGACTCTCCAGAAATTTTTTGTGGCCAGGAATACTGAAGGAAATAAAGAATTTTGTGGCTGAATGCATAGAATGCCAGCGCCAAAACATCGAGAATATACACCCTCCTGGGTTGGTGCAGCCCTTGCCCATCCCCACAGGCATCTGGCAAGATATATCTCTTGATTTCATAGAAGGACTTCCTCTCTCAAACGGGTATACAGTGATCCTCGTGGTGGTAGATCGTTTATCCAAATATGGCCATTTTATTCCACTTAAACACCAAATGGCATCTGGCAAAATAAAGCTATGACCAAATGGCTGATCCAGTGGGCTGGCCTACCTACTGAAGACGCTACCTGGGAGGAAGCTGACGACATCTTGGCCCGTTACCCAGATTTCAAGGCCTGAGGACATGCCTCTTCTCAAGGGTGGGGGAGTTGTTAAGCCCATTTACTGGAGTCCACTACTTCCCTCCTTGCAACCGGCCCATGTTAGCCCTTTTATCACCATGCCCAAATAGCTAGGGTTCTCATACGAGGAGTATAAATATGTAATAGAGAGACGAGGACAAATTATGAATGAAATGAATTAAAACTGCCTCTTTTTCCTCCAAACTCTTCTCTCTCTTTTCTCTTTCTAAATTCCTGCACTATTTCTGTTAAAGTTGCCATTTTTAGCCAACCTGAACCGATTGGGTGTACCAGCGTGAGGCAGCTCTGCCTTTTGACCTGGCACGAGTCAATCCTTTTGGTCATCTATCTATAATAACTATTTTGGAAGCAATATTCCAAGTGCCAATGGATCAGTTCACTTAGTCCACTTGAGCTCTCAGCAGCATGAGGGTTCCTATTTGTTGGGTATTTCATGGGTACTTGGGAACTTATATATCCTGGAAGCAATATTCCAAGTGCCAATGGCCTGTTTGTGAAGTGGAACTATCCCATCATCTAGTGTAAACTGTACTTGTGTGTATGTGCGCGTGAGCGGGATGCACATACACACGCACATACCAAACTAGGGATCTCTAATACACTCTTGCTTCTTGTTGATTGGATTGTCCTTACTTAACATATTTTGATTGAGTTCTTATAAGTGTACATGGGTGTCTT